ACGCAGCAGCGGCAGCACCAGTCGGGTGCTGGGCGGTGTGAACAGAGCGGGAGCAGAAAAGGGAAACCGGAGCTAAACCAGAAAGGCTCCCGCTCGGAGCTAGAAAGGGAAAAGCGCTGGTGTGAAAGCCGCATGACAGTAGGCCCCTTTTTTTAAATGTCTACGCTTAAGTTTTTATAGGTGTTGCCATCTTGCGGAGGGATCTAGATCGGCATGAAGGCACATTGTGCAATGTGCACATTATCCCGCTTATTACCAGTGGCGTTTTCTCCCGGAGGCCAAGGGAAGCCAGGCTTCCTCTGTTTTTTCGGATTGTAGTTATAATTTAAATAAATAAATAAAAACACTTTGTTTTGTTTCGATAATTATCCTTTACTGTGTGTTGCTGCCGGCCCGTCTCTCCCCCATTCTCATTGAGTATTTTACAAAGAGTGAAACAAACAGCGCCCCTCTAGATGTTATGGTGAAACAGTAGATTGCACTCACTGTTGCGAGAGGAGGCCAGCCGAATCTGGCTTCCTTTGGTGAAAAAAAATTGAGGGATTGACCAATCAGATGAGGCCCACGTGATGCCCCTGCCAACCTGTGATTGGTCAGGGCCATGCCAAGGGAAGCCAGCCGCCTCTAGCTTCCCTTCAGGGGCGGCTGGCGGCTGGCGATTTGATTGGACACTGCCATCCAATCAAATCACATCAACATCAGTTTTAATACTGTAACTGTCATCACCGCCGTTAGAAATTATCAAGCAAATGAAGCATTATGGAGGGTGGAGATTTGGCGTACTTAATCAAACATAACTTTACTAAACTTCCGCTACAGCAGCAACTAAAAATTAAATCAGATGATAGGCCAATGCCCGCACTCGAGCTGTGTGTACACAGAGGAAAAAGGGAGATAATCGGACGTTCAATGAGGACAATTATGTCCGCACAGAGTGGCTAACTGGAAGCGCTAAACTTCAGCGTCTATTTGGCTGGCCATGTCTTCTTTTTGACAAGGATTCGTGCTCCCTGAACAATCCTTGGGCAACTTCAGGATTCATCGACCTTGCCAACCTGTCACGGGCAATTGAGAGGCACGGTAAATCCAAAAATCACATAGATTGTGTGATTGTCTGCATACATTAATAAGTAAAATGCTTAAATTAATAAGAAGAGAGTTTCAGCTGGAGAGTGCGTGCGGACCTTTCGGTTAGATAACAGGCGTGTGCAAGTCCTGCATCTGTGTGATACAAATGTGTGTAAAATGATACCGGGCGCTGTAATCACTCATCTGGTTACGTTATTGACCGCCCCCCGACCCAAAAAATGGGCTTCCCCTACATTTTTCCCCACGCCACGCTACTGCTTATTACATGGCCACATTCTCAACAAAGTAACGACATGACTCCCAATATTAATTGAAATGCTTTTATGGATTTAGAAAATGATTTTATTGATTTAAAAAATAGTTTTATGTATTGATTTAAATTGACATGCATCCGCTAAGAAAAATAGTCCGTTGTTACTGTTTTAACTAACGTAGCAACGGCAGGAACTGCTTCGATAGTGTTTTTGAGGAGCTTTTTGATTACAGATTTGAAAACATCGTTGCTTGCTTTAAAAGTAGCACAATTCATTTTGTCAAACCTTGGAAAGTATCTAGATATCCCTGCCCTAATGCCAAAGGAACTGCACACTGAATATGTGTCTCCGTTTGATGTCTATGTCTGGACCGCTGCGTAAAAAGGAGGGTTTCTGCCCCATTACTTCTCTTCTTACTTCTATAAGAATAAAACACGGAGGACGGAGATCTCTTTTTCTCCCCCTCTTCTGACCGCCCAGCAGCTGATCTCAAAGCACGCTCCCCTCTCCTGCAGGGGGGCGTGGTCAGCTGCAGCTCACAGAATCAGGCTCCTGCAAAAACAGCGCTGGAAAGAGGAAATAGAGCGAAATGAGGCATGGCTAAAATGCAGGATCTGTTTGGTATTTTGAAAAAAAAACTATATTTATATAGTTTATATAGGTCGATACAGTAGCCCCTTTTAAAAAAAATAGTTGTTATAGGTGTTGCTATCCGTTTTGTGTAGCGTGGTTCAACAAGCAAGTCAATGCATTCATTGGGTGGTATCAGAGAGTTACACGGGTCTGTAAATGCAATGAAAACAATTGGCCACAGCAAATCATTTATATTAAACATGTAATTTGTACTTTAGAATACTTCAGTACAAAGGATGTATTGAATAATTTAAGTGATATGGTGTACACATAAATCATTAGTCAAAATAGGGCTACATTTGATTGAATTAAAAGGTATAATATGTGGTAAACTGAAGAGCCGTTTGGGAGCCGAAAGAGCCGGCTCTTCTTGGTGAGCCGAGCCAAATGATCCGGCTCACCAAGAAGAGCCGGAATTCCCATCACTAGACTGCATCCACTCACAGTGTCCGATTCAGAAACGTGACTCTTACACTATTTACGTCAAAAACAAAGATGGTGGATGAGTAGACCTATAAAACAGACAGAAAAGGATAAGCAAGGCGCCAGAATCAAGGTGAGACTATCCGCATTTTTTACAACTTTATGCACATTCGTTTCACCGAAATAAGTAAACGCCTCTCAATGAAAAACTTAATAGAGTTGTTTATTGCCGTTTCTGTAAAACATGAAACGTGAAAAACACGGCATGTTTCTCTGGCTCAAACAGCTGATAAGTTATGACGCTTTGAACACAACGTGATATTTGGGCCCGTGGGTCTCAGAGGGTTAAGCTAAAAGCTGTTTTATGTGTCACTCATTACATGATGAGATCATTTGTCAAACTGAAACTTCCAAATGAGGTCAGAGCGTAACTTTGCAGTTAAGTTCAGGAAAAGCATGTTTGTGTTATATAACGCATTCTTTATGTTTGTATGCATGCTTTATCTTGTGTTTTATGAGGCCTGCTGTAAGGTGGGCCACAGCTCTGCCAAATGTTCATTTGATTATGTTTGCTCTCAGAAGCCTGGAACCAAATCTTATGCAAATGATTTTATCAGTAGGTGTGGAGAAACTTTGGGTGCTCGCTGGCTCAAATATCAAGGTTAAACTTAATAAGTGTAGTCCAACATGTTTTATCCATAACATTTCAATATTTTTGTTTTATAGAATAAAGTCCATCTCCAGGCTTAAAATAGGGTTAAAGGTTGCAATGGAAATTATGAGCATCAAATAATTTAATGCTATTATGTTGTATAAATAATAATTTTCTTCAAGCCTTTCATGTCAAAAGATAGTAGATCAATGTAGTTGAGAGATCATCCTTCAGGTAGATGATCAGTCACAAGGTGCCATGTGACCACCAGTGGGTGACCATTGATCTGATCATGGGTCTATTGTCCTTTTTGAAAGGGTCATGGGTCAGGTATCTCATGACTAAGCATTGAAACTGAATAAAAGCAGACTCTTCAGTTTGAGTAGTTGCACTCAGCTGTAGAGACATTGTTTCTGAATGCTTTGTGTCAATTTGGCTAAAGATTATTAAAGACTCAACTCTTTGACCAGTTCATTTCAAGAATTTCCACAACAAGGTTGGTAGAAGAAACATAACAAAAAGTCCCTTATTTTCATCACAACAACATGTCTGCACTGAAGCCCCCTGTCTGTGGAATGTTTGGTCAAATAAGATGCTACATTAAGTGTAGTGTGTCAGCTGTAGTTACTGTTGTTGATGGACAACAGACCCCATAATGCTTGGCACTGGGCTCGGGCCCTGCTGGCTCTAACACAATGGAATCTTTTAAGCAGGCTTGCTCGGGCCCTCCTGTTATCTGCCCTATCAAGTGTAGTTGCATTCCTATCTCCATTTCAACAGCCCTGAAACTCAATGTTGACCAGGAGGTGTGTTCACTGTAAGGTGAAATACAGAGGAATGTATTTTGGTCAGAAGAGCAAACATTCTTTAGAGTTGGTTTCAAAGAACAATCTGCTTTTTTAGATGAAACAGTTGAGTTTGTGCCATTAAAGTATAGTTCCAGTGTTGACTTACAAAAATGGAAGGTGTCCAGTCAAACAGGAAACAAATTGTGGCAATGAAATGGAAAGCAAAACAGATTTCATAAAAATCAAGTGGTTACAGGTGAGGTAAAGGGAGGAAGTTTCACCTGAATTTAACAAACAAAATAGTTTGTTTGGCTTCACTAATTTACATACTTTTCACTTAGATTACCATTTATCCAAAGCAACTTACAATAAGTGCTAGTTACTTAAAGAAATTCTTACTTGTACATTATCTTTCAATAAGCCAAATCATTGGAAGTGCTATTGCATTTGTTTCAAATAAACCAAACCTATGCTATGTAAAGAAGTGACGTTTTTTATTTATTTGTATTTAATTAAATATTTGGCCAGGTGGCATTTGAAACAGTTACACTGTCCATTGAGAATACATCACAGTGAAAGGAGCTACTGTTGATGCTGCTATGATGAGAAATTACAGTTGATAAAAAAGGAAGTTGTTGAAATAACATTTGTCAAAATGCAGATAAATCATCTCTCTAGCCTGAGGTCAGTTTGTACTGAGTTGGTAATCATGACCAGAGGGAACAGGCACTCTCCAACACTTGTGTTTTTTTAAACAGTTTATTAATGCCTAATTCCTTTATTTTTTTACTTCTACTCACCCTTTTTAAGTGATGGAAACATTATTCAAATATTATAAAAGCATTTCTCCATGCTTTGCTTGAGCCGGTCTCCTGCTTGAAAATGTATAAAGTATTCATGGTCTATATTGTCATAAAAATGTTTTGTCATCACTCCATGCAAATACTTGAGTCCCATGATCACACATTTCAGTCATTCTCATTGCACTCTGATGAAGCAATTCACTGTGTCCTTTTTTGCCCCGCCTTTGTTTGACTGGTTTCGGCTTAACCCGTTTGTCCGCCCTCTCTGTTTACTCTATATAACCAGCTCCCGTAGTCCCTGTGAACTCACTTTGCCACTGTGCTGACACCAGCCACTGACTGTCACTGCATTAGAAGGAACAGAACTACATCGTCTCCATGTCATCCGAACAGGAAGACTGCCACCTCTGTAAGGAGTACCTCAGGGACCCCGTGTCCATCCCATGTGGCCACATCTTCTGCGCCGTGTGCCTGAAGACCTACTGGGACCATGCCGACCACACAGGCTCGTACATGTGCCCGCAGTGCAGGGTCACCTACAACAAGAGGCCCACCCCGAGACGCATGGGAGGCTCTCGCCAATCCACCATCCAACGCAACAGCGAGCCCTTCCCACCTCCCCCTCCGTCCCCTGACTACAACTACGCGGGACCCCAGGATGTAGGTTGTGACATCTGCATTGGAAAGAAGCACAAAGCCATCAAGACCTGCCTGATGTGTCTGGCCTCGTACTGCGAGAAGCATCTGAAGCCCCACTACGAGTCAAACACTTTCAAAAGGCACAAGCTGGTGGATGAGATCGGCCACCTGGACAGGCAGATCTGTCCGCAGCATCAGAAGGGACTGGAGCTGTTCTGTCGCACTGACCAGATGTGCATCTGTGTGCTGTGTACAGTGAAGGAGCACAAAGGTCACGACATGGTGTCTGCGGAGCAGGAGAGGGCAGAGGAGCAGGTACTGTTTACTTTATTCAAAGCTACAACACTGGGAAATATAAGAATGCTAAATGTGCTTTAATCAACATAACAATTATTGTTTCATATATGCATTGGTAGTATGTTAAATGTAATTCTTTACTTGAGTTAAAATTCAAAGTACTTTACTCAAGTATTTGAATTTTATGCAACGGTATACTTATTGTTGTCTTTTACCTCACTAGATTTGTCTGACAGCAACGTTTTAAATTCAAAGCAGTAAAATACAACACTTCCATTATTGCAGCAGTAATATTAATCAAAGCACTTCAAATATTATAGTAAAATAATGACAAATAACTTTTTACTGCACAATCATAACTTTTACTTTTAAAACATTGGGTTAAATTTGCAAATAAAACTGAAATACTTTGCCTTAAGCAAGGTGTGAATGCAGGACTTGTACTGGAGTATTTTCAGTGTGTCATAGTACTAAATATAGATGTGTATATTTCTATTAATAGTGACACCTATGTACCTATTATAGTTTGATGCACTAGTGTGGTAGTTATAGCAAAAGTGGAAGGTAAAGCATGACTCAGCAGCTTAAAAATCAATGAAACAAGCACTTTGTGAGACCCACCCATATGAAAATAATGGTCGCAAGTTGTTATAACAATATGAACGTTTCAAAAATAAATTCAAGGATTTTGTCATTTTGATTTGTGGAATTGCTGTCATCACCAAAAACAATGTCTGTTGTTTTTGTCATAGCAACGGTTGGGCGCCACCCAGGCAGAGATCCAGGAGAAGATTCATGACCGACTCAAGCAGATGGAGGAAATGAAACAAGCTGTGGACACACTCAAGGTTTGTGCCACCATCAACCATTATATAGAACCAGACTAACCACTTGACATTGAATGGAAAGTTAATTCACTACCGACACAACCACATTCCTTGGTGTAGTAGCGATGACGGCTTCTAAGTGCGCTTGCCAAACCAGTGTGACTACATGGTGATTTATGGCATATGTGTCTGTTTTCTGTACAGAGCTCCGCCCACACAGCACTGCAGGAATGTGAGAAGATGTTTGCCGACATGATACGCTCCATTGAAAGGATGCAGCAAGAGATGATGAAGCTGATCTCATCCAACAAGAGAGCCGCGCTCAGCAACGCAGAGGGCCACGTGGAGCGTCTGAGCCATGAGATCTCTGATCTGAAGAGGAGGGACAACGAGATCACCCAGCTGTCCCGCACCGAGGACCACATCCACTTCATCCAGGTAACTGACAACAGGTCCACAGATAAATCAAATACATTGAGTACCATTAGGGACAGATTACTGAATCGGCCTACAGGGCTCAAGCAAAGGCAAGATGACTACAAGGGGATGTATACAGACCAAAAAAAGTAGAACAATTACCAAAAAGAGATGCACAATGAACAAACAAGAGAAGCATAATGCTCCCAAAGATGTCTGTTTGGATCTGTGAATGTCTCATAATCTCTCTTTGAGTACTACCTTTGCATTAAGGACGGATGATGGCACAATATCTCCACCCATCCATCCAGCAATTATTTTAACATCCGGTACAGGGGGGCTATCCCATAAGACCACCAGTCAATACAAAGGCTAAAAGACAGACAAACTTGACATCACAAATATTTAATCTAATACACTCTAAGGTATACTGCATGGTGCAAAATGAACAATAAAGTAGTAGAAAACATGTTTTAGGTACCAGTTTTCCTTACATTCCATTTGATCCCTTATTAGAGCTTCCACATGCTGATAGCCCAGACGGAGGCGGAGGAGCTGCCTACAGTGAGCGTCAACCCCTACTTCACCTTCGGCCCGGTCACTAAGGCCGTCTCTGAGATGAAACAGCACCTGAACGAATTCAGCAACGAGGAACTGGTTAAAGTGGCCAAAGCAGGTGAGTTAAAACACACATACAAAACTTACATTGATTCAAATATCTTCAATTCTCTGAACATCTTATGAACATATTACCTCTTATCATGCTCTAATTATTATTTCTTTTTTTTCAGTTAACAAAATGACCTTCTGCCAACTGGAGGATTCCAAAAAGAAACAGGCAAAATCAATCAAAAGTAAGTTGGCCATTTAAGAAACTAATTTTCCTGTTGATTTTATGTGGACAACATGTTATTGTGGTAATACTAAGGGTATTTATTACTTTTAATCCCATAGGAGATCCTGTAATTAATTATTATGATATGCTTTTGTACAGTTTCTGACTTATAAAACCATTTCTCACTATTTTTCACAAAGTTTCTCATTATAATGACTTACGGGATCTTTTATTTTCAACATATTGGATTCTATAGCCAGCAGAGCTTTGGTGTTTAGAAATATATTGGCCCAAATTTAAAGCATTTGAAAAGAGACAGTTAGATTGACAATTCCGACTTTCCTCAATAGGGCTTTGTGCAGTTGTGTTTGATGTGTTCAGTAGAGGGTAACCTGAGGTCACTCAGTAGCCACATAGTTAAATGTTTACTTTGATTAGGATGTCAAACTGCCAGCGGGTTACCACAAACGTTCTCCTCTGAAATATAATTTGGTTGAGTTTCACTTCAGATCTGCTTAATTGATAAAGACAGGACTGGATTATTATACCAATAATATCAAAACCACCACCACCATTGGGATAGAACATCTATTGTATTGTTGAATAATATGACGTAATGGAAAGTAATGTAGATAAGTAAAGTAAACACACCCTTCAATTCAAAGCCTAGTAATCCATTATGATACAAATATTTGTTTTCCCAGGTGAAGAAGCCACCGCCGTACAAGTGTACAAGTCCGTGCCAATGCAGGAACCTCAGCACAGGGACGACTTCATGAGATGTGAGTCTTATTTTCGCTGACTTTTCTCTGCAGTGACACAGATCACTGCTCTCACTTCCATTTCAGTGCATGATTCAAATTAAATCCTGATGAGGTTCTCTGCCAGACCCTGTGGTTGACCACAAATCTGTATGTCCCACAGTGTTGACAGAGACTGGGATTCACTCATTAACAACTATATCAGATTTGCAGTTAAAGTGCTCCCTCCTTCCTTAAACTGAGTTAATAAAACACTGATTAACTAATTTAACTAACCAGACAGATAAGAACAAAACAATAGGAGTAATTATTCTTATATTATAACCAAATATCTAATATCATAAGAATTTGAAGTGGTACTGTTATTTTTAACTAAAACAAAACTGCATAGTCTTTGAGGATGCATTAAAAAGGAGTTCAAAGGTGGTGGGTCTCGCCTTTTAGTAAATGGACTTCTGTTTGTGGTCAAACTCACAAACAATGTTGATACTCTGGCATTCCAGATAATAGGCCGGGAGATAATAGGCCGGCCAGATCTAGGAGGGGCCCCCGCATGTCCCACCAACTGTGATCTGCAGAGGTGGAGATAAACAGCCAGCAGGTGACATCCAACACCTGTCATTATTATTATTATCTGATTTCTGTCTCCAGTCAAAGGGTCTCCCATTTTGCCTTTTAAATCATGTAGTAGCAAAAGTTAGTACAAAATGTAAAATAACTAGAAATCTTAAATTTCTGGCAGCTTGCCGTGCAAGCAGGATCGGTGCTGCTGTAAATAGGCTTCGTCATCTTAGGCTTCGTCATTTTCATTCAACACAAGCAATTTGAATTTGTAAAGTAGAAGTGTAACAAAATATCAATACTATTGCGTTAAACATTATTATGTTTTGTGTTACTGTATTTATTATCATAAGCACTGTGTTGATCAATAACCAATAGTTGATAATAACAAATATGTCTGCCAGCACCGACACTTTTCTAAGTGGTATAAGTATATTGGCAGATATTAATTGTTCCTCTAATCCTTTGTTCATATTGCACAAAAAGTGTGCTCTAATGCTGGATGTTACAGGGACTATAATAAATGCAAATACAAATCCCACTGTGGCAATAGTATAAAAAACATCATTATTTTTAAAGTACACTTATTTTCCTCAGATTTGCATATGGCAGTGTTTTCTTTATAATATGATGGCTTTTCTCTAATAAGATACAAATAATTCTCAATATATCGTAAAGCAATATATTGACACCATGCCCTGTATTAGGGCTGCACGATATATTTGTTTCCCCTGCGATATATATATATAGCGTTTTTTTTTAACTATATTTAACCGGATGAAGGATTTTATACACGGACGTCTGGATCTTAACTGGTTGACTCATCATACCTTAAGTCATGATCTAACATGTCATGATAATGCATGTTGCTTACCCTCAAATAAGGGGGTTCATCTGTGAATGAAGAAGAGAAGAACCTTTTTGTATCCAAAATAGTTCCAGATGGCAGATGTTGCTTTTCTTTTTGGAAGTAAATCTTCATTCTCGCCGGTATTGTCCTTCTGTTCCTCGCTCATTTTTTACCGGTGTTCTGATGGTCTGCAAACTAGCGGGGCGGGGCCTGCTGTGATCTGATCAAGAATGATTGTGATTGGTGGTTTGCTGTGCATGCAGAGCCTGCATGTCACTCACTCAAGTACCCCTGACATGAGAGCCGCGCAAGTTTTCCTTTTGTAGCAAGCAGCAAAATAATTGTAACATGACTTGTTTGAGTTAATTTACCTACTTAATATCGCACGTCCTGGAAAAAATAAATAAATCGCACATCCCTGCGATGTGAATATCGCGCATGCGCATATCACGGTTATCGCCATGACACGATATCGTTCAGCCCTACCCTGTATCATGAAATGTCTTTTATTGCCAGATTCTTGTCGATACACAGCCCTAAGTAAATGTTCATTTATCTTCCCAGATGCCTGCCAGCTGACTCTGGACTCCAACACGGCCTACAGACAGCTCCACTTGTCCCGAGCGAACAGAAAAGCCGTCCTCAAGAGAGACCCCCAAACTTACGGTGATCACCCCGCCAGGTTCGACTCCCTGCCCCAGGTCCTGTGTAAGGAGAATCTTTCTGGAGGACCGTACTACTGGGAGGTTGACTGGAGTGGAGAGGGGGCCGCCATCGGGGTCACCTACAAAGGCATCAAGCGGACGGGCTACGGAGACAACTCCCGCATCGGCTACAACCGCAAGTCCTGGAGCCTGTTCTGCTCTGATGCCAGCTACTCCGCCCGCCACAGCAAAGACCAGATAGAGATCAATGCCCCCTACTCATCCCGTATAGGGGTGTTCCTCGACCACGAAGGCGGTACCCTCGCTTTCTACGGAGTGGGGGAAACCATGTCTCTCATCCACCGCTTCAAGGCCTCCTTTGCCGAGCCTGTCTTCCCAGGCTTCTGGGTTTGGTACGAGTCAGGCATTACCCTCATCCAGTAGGGATTCAATACACTTCCTATGAAAAATGTACAACAGTGATTCAGTGTGTAGGTATAGATTACAAGAACAAGACCTGTACTACTTTGTGATGATGTTATAATTATTTTACAAGATTGGATTTTTTTTTTTTACTATGTGTTGTGTATCAGGATTCTTGATGCTTGTGACTTTTCTGCAAATCAACATGTTTGAGGATGAAATGTATAAAGTTAAATGCATTTAAATTATCGTTTGAAATATTGAATGATGTACTTGATTGAAACATGTCACAAGATCATTTATGAAGATGTTGTACTTATTTTGCTCAATAAACATTTTATATCAAGCATATACGGGGAAGTCTTTGTTGCATTTTTCATTCTATTGTCACTCAACAGGCTAACTACCTCTCAGACTGCTTCCTGAGCGCAAAAAAAAGAAGCTTGAAATAAAAGAGAACTGTTATTATTTATCTTAGTTTTGTCCAGATTAAATCTTCTAGGATTTCATGGGCTATAAATATCACATCTACCATGCTCTAAGAGTCTAAGAAAAGGCTCATGTTTCTAAGATCACCAATGTTTAAAAGTCAGATGTTTGATATGATTAAAGGCAAAATTAAACGTTTTTTAGAGAAGTTTATATGCTTTATTTTTCAAAGTCAGTGTGTATTGGACTGGGAAGTGAAGCTGCTATCAATGCTCTCTTGAAATCCACTTCTTTGACAAACACAGTTATGTTACCTTCCAGAACACTGAGGTTGCTGTTCTACTGCTGACTCCTTTGGTTATTTTTTTTTATTGTGTGACTTCGGTTTTTAAAAAAGGTAAGTTGGGATTCACCGTCGTCTCATAATAAAACTAACTAACCGAGTAAGGCAGGGGGAAAATGGCAACATCTGTAAGGTACAATTACTGTTTTTGTCAAATAAGTATGGTGGCTTTGACAACAGAATAGAAAGCAGCTTCAGTACCCTGTCAGAAAGGGGTGTTTAAAGGCAAGATAAAGCACTCAAAATACTCTTAATATTACATACACCTAAACCAACATGTTTTGCCTTTTGTTTATGTGGCTAACATGCTGGTACTTATATCTGTTCCTCCAAACTGAGGGTGTGTTGACTGTCCTTGACTATAGGAAATACACTGACTATGGACAAGTACCTCCTAACCCCACTTTAAAAAATCCACTCTATCCCTTTAATGCTTTGTCTGTGTCGAGCAGTGTTGGTTTTGCGGAGGTCTGAGAGGCAGAAGAGATTTGCAAAGGAGTAGGTGAGGTGTGACTGAGAGTCTCCTGACTTTACAGATGGATGAGCATCATCTGGGAAGCAGTTTAAAAGGTTTTGTGGCAGTCTTACTTTTACAATCGTTATCATTGGTCATTGAAAGCATAAATTCAGGCAGATAAAGTATAATTGATGTGACAAATAATCTTTTTTTCTTTAGGAAAATAGCTGTAAAAGTGTCTAGGTTCCAGTCAATCATTGTAATAGATAACTATATGCAAGTGGCCATGTTTCTTTTCACTAAATCTTAACGGCTTGTAATGGTAAATCAGCCTGTATTGAGACTGTATTGTCATTTTGTTTTCATTGGCACAATTTTAGCAGTGTCAAACTATAATAATGAAAAAACATGTTTATCGTTTGGACTTGCATTTTGTCAGTGCTATCTGATCATTTTAATCAACTTCTCCTTTGGTTTGAACACCAGGAAACGTCACAACGGTTGACAATGGCAAACTAAATGTGTTGTCTCGGTTCCAGTTCTCTGTAACGTTGTGGAATCCTAAAACTGCAGCCTTAAGGGAAAGTTTTTGATGATACAGGGAGAGGATATGAAAAGCTGCTCCAGAAACCTTGAGGTTAAAGTCAGCGGGTGACTTTCTCCTTTGTTCAGTGGAATGGTATCTGATTCATATGTTTTCTGGAAAAAACCTAATCCCACAATTTCTATGAGCAAGCGGAGAAATTTGCAGTACAAGGATAATTGATTTAGGTAAATATTGATGTTGATATCCCAATCCCCATGTATTTGAAACAATTTCCAACTCCACAAACCACATTAAAAAGGTATTTCATTTTTAGTGCAGATACATATGCACTGTCAAAATATTGCCATTGTGTATTATTAATATTTCTAGTTAAATGCTTAATTAACTGACATCAAACATTGATTGATTAACTAAATACATATTTAGAGCAATTATATTTGACAATTTGCTAAGTTTTGCTGTTGCAGCTGCTCTGCAAAGACATTTTTAAACGACTTAAATTAATTGTGAGGCTTGCTACCTCTAGTGGAGAAATGTAGCTTATACAGTGCTCACCAATGCTGTCTTCATGGGCACCTGTTCACCTCACTCTGGAAAAGCTTCTGTGTAAGAAGATGAATCACTGTTGGAGATAGAAAACATTATATAACAGCGACAGTATACTGTAGGCCTAGCAAACAGGTCTCGTTGAGTAAACAGTAGGCTTACTGGTTCAGTTTACCTATGGTTTAAAAGTTCAAACACAGAAACTATTATGGCATTGGTTACTTCAAACAACATATTAGAGGCTACCTCTCCCTGAACAAATGTACCTTCCTACGCTTAGTTCTTTTTTTAAACTTCAAACTGCACACTTGTTATTTTGCACTACCAAGAGTTAAGACATTTTGAATATAAATTAGTCAACAACGTGATAACATGAATGTTTGTTAAGTTTTTAGACACAACTTGTTTTTAAATGGCAAACATGATGCAGAGAAGCTAAATAAATACAACAAAATAAGTTAAATACACAGTATAAAATAGATAAAATGCTTTACCTTTTTTCCGTACACCAGGTAGGGGACACGAGGCACGAAAGTCATTGACACGAGGTATAATCGCTTAAATAACGCTAGGCTGAAATTCAAATTGAGATAAACGGGCAGTCATTCCTCCAGCCACTCCCTATTTAATACACCTGTAACTTTATAAACGTATTTAAATTTTCATTCAAATCATTAGGCCACCCTGTCTGTAGAGGGCAGTCAATCTCAAAACGTACATAGAAAAAGAAAGGCTTGTTTCTCGTCGGACAGACTTACCCTGCGCACCATTGGAAAGAAGCGCCGCATTCTCACATTTTCGCAAGTGTGGCTGCACAGGTGAGTTACAATCATAACATAATTGTAATACATTATCATTAACTTTTAAAATCATAATACTGTAGAACTCTTACTATGATACAATCCCTTGCTATTCGCCTCCTAATCAAATCTTTGTAAGGTAACGTGAGTTGCTGAAGACAGAACATCGTTTAATGGAGCTAGCTAGTTTGCTAACATAACATTAGCTAGCGTTAAATACTTTGCTTCGTTCTCGCTGAGGAGAAGATAGTAGGTAACATTTGTGGTTTCTGCATATCATCTAAACAATCTCATGTTGCTGATGACTGAGATGTGTGTTTTGGCAAAACGACAACCATGACAAATTAAAAGCCAAGCGACATGGCTAACGCTCTCATACACGTTTGTGTTGTGGCATGCGTTACAACTGTCGCTATGACAACCGACTGGACAAGACATACTCAGTAGGTACATTGTTATTTTCCAGCTCAGATATTAGTGCTGAGTCTTTATGGGAAACCTGATGCTTCTTCTATGTATTCAGAGAATCCAGGACAGGAGTACTGGACATCTCACACACTGGGCTCATTGTTGAGAGCGTTGGACAATATACATTCGAGATCTGGATTAGATAATTGAAATATGTATGGACTTTAATTGTTAATTAATTGACCAGAAATCTAAAACTCTTATTAGATTCTACAGTGCTCAATACCTTTGTTTCATTTGGCATGGCAGCTCGCACACCTCTTGAAGTTTTTTGAGCTTCTTTCAGCCCAGCATCCATGGTATTTCTCTCTGCTCAGGAAGATCGTATATTCCTATCTTCCTCTTTAGCGCACCAATATACACACTACACAGTCAGTGATTTTGACTATTTCTTTGTGACTGTGTTGTTATTAGAGTGTACCTCCTAAACTTAATAAAACGGTATTTTCCTACTAATAAAAAGAATAGTTGAGCGGGAAGAATTATTTATTCTGAAACTAGTTATTGTGTTTTTATATTAAAGATATTTTTCTGTCTGCTTATAATCAAATTCAGATGGCGACTACAAAGGTCCCAGAGGTCCGTGACATCACACGGATCGAGAGAATCGGTAAGCATCCAGATTCACACTGAAACCCTGACTGTTTAGCTTTAATGGAGACACATTACTGATTTGCTTATGCATATTAAGATCAGGTCAGCATTGATTGAAGTCTTACCCAGCAGCAAATCCCTTTTCCAAATGTGCTTAATATTCATGTGTACATTTCCATCTTATTTTGTGTTCAGGAGCACACTCTCACATCCGTGGCCTTGGTTTGGATGATGCTTTGGAGCCAAGACAGGTAGCGTTCAGTCTTCTTCTTCAGTTGGCATTACAAACCTAAACAGATGTGTACTGTTGTATTTAGAGAATAACTATGTAGGCTAGAAGTACTTGGATCCCAAAAATGTGACAGATACAGCTATATTGTAAAAAGGAACGGAAATATATTCAGATGTGCATTAATATTTGTGTGACTTCAACCTTCATATGTTCATGTTCACCTGCAGGTGTCTCAGGGGCTGGTGGGCCAGCTGGCCTCCCGTCGGGCAGCGGGGGTCGTCCTGGAGATGATCAAAGATGGCCACATAGCTGGCAGAGCAGTTCTGATCGCTGGCCAACCTGGCACAGGAAAGACTGCCATTGCTATGGGTAAGTTGAAGGCTTTCCAAAACACAACGTCATTTGATCCTCCCCCTGTGGAAGTCATATTGTTGTTGTAAATGGCTGAAGTTATTGTTAAAGCAAGATCTTGTTTTCCTGGCCTCGATTTATTTTACATTTTGTATGCAGGCATTGCCCAGTCCCTTGGCCCTGATACACCCTTCACAGCGATGGCCGGCAGTGAGATCTTCTCCCTGGAGATGAGCAAGACCGAGTCACTCAGCCAAGCTTTCAGAAAAGCCATCGGAGTGAGGATCAAGTGAGTGATCAAAAACAATATTTGTATTATGTAATTTTCATTGTTTGAAATGAATCAGTATTCATTGTGTGATTCTTCTACAGAGAGGAGACAGAGATCATTGAAGGAGAGGTGGTGGAGATCCAGATTGATCGACCGGCCACAGGAACGGTAGGCTGCTGACGTGACAACTTCAAGTGCACTCCCGTCTCGCAATGTTCTTTTGATGCCAGAACACACTACGGACCTGTTTACTCCTGTTATTGACATGCATCTTAGGCAATTGGATCATAAGTGGATAGTAATAACATCAATA